TAACCATACCTCCCCTTCCCTAATTGCCCTTTCTCGTGTACGAGCTGAGGGTCAATTAGGGAGGATTTACTGTACCGAAGTTCGGAAAAGCTATTAGAGATTTAGAAATCCAAAAGGTTCTGTCTCTAAAGGGTGAAAGACTTCGCGAATCCGTGGTAGAAAATTTCGATCAACGATGTCCAAGAAATAAAAGCGTTTCGCTCAACAGTGCGCAATTTCTGTTCTCGCCTGACCAAGTAACCTTCCGCCGAGAATTCGACCGGTTGAGCGATCCACCCGAAGATAACCCGGATCGTTTCCACTTACTTCGAGCAAATTATTTAATTTATTCAGATCGATACTCGGTCCCAGGGTCAGAGCCGGGGTGGCTGGCGTGCACGTCGACGTTTCCGGATGAATTGTGCCATTGACGCGCCCCTGATAAGGACTCGTCGTAATCAACGGCTATCGCGACTCGAGAATTTTTTCGCAGCGCACGACGCTCGCTCGATTTTCCGTGCGGCATCGAGATCGCCGGTCTCGAATGATGCAACACCGATTGCGCAGATATCGATCCACGTTCGCACGATTTTTTGAATCTCGCCGCGCGCTATCTGAATACCGCGGGACTAATTTACCGGAGAGAATCATCCGTAAACAAGTTGTTCCGGGCGCCGCCGCATCGAGCCGACGCAAGTTAGCAAAAGTTGTATAATTAATTAGCAACTTCGACGGACGATAACAGTTTCCTTAATGGACACCTTATCGCACCTGTTGTCAGCTATTTCGATAACTGAAGCTCGATACTTTCCGTACAGTTTCTCATTGAGCCGGCGTTATCGGCCGTGTCGGTCGTCGATTAACGTAATTTCCGATTTTTATTCGTCGGAGAAAATTTTTTGCTCGTACCACGGCGACCCGGTTCGATTCAGATTTTACCGGTTGATGTTTGCAAATCGCGATTGAAACACAGGACTCCCCGTTAACGGAGCCTGTATTTATTCGAGCGGAAACTCATTTATCGGTAGCCCGGTCGATTGCAAAGAAACCTAATATGTTATTAATGCGATGAAAATTATGAATCGCAATTATTATCGTAGAAATATAACGACATTTGGTCGCCGACATGCGTGTTGGAACCATCGACAATGCGATTCGAATTCGTTCCGGACTGTGATTAAATTTCATTCGCGCGCTCGCGCCAACAATTATAACAATGATCTGTAGAACCTTCAACGTTAATCAATCCGAATTGAAAATTCGTGGCTGTACACAACGCTGGAAACGTTTTCAGCGTTGCCATCCGGATTCTTGGTCGCCGTAAAATTCATTGCTCGATGATTACATATCTCATAAGAAAATAATTATTAATTACCCGGCGTTTCACATATCGCGAAACGTAAAACCGTTATTACACTGACGGGTACGCGAGATCAAAGAGAATTTACAGTGACGGAGAAATGTATTCGGACAGCTTTAATAAGCTATATAATTATAATTAATTAATATTATTGTTATATTATTAATATTATATATATTATATTATATAATATTATATATATTAATTATAATATATTATAATTGTTGTTGTATATTTGTAACTATAATATTTAATTAATTCATAATAAATTACATTAATTGCTGTGTAATTGGACTCGGTGCCAGATAATTCAACATCAAATAATGCGAATAACGTAGCTAATGTTGTCCAAGCGATGAAGAATACTTCAACTTTATTAAAGAAAAACGAAATATTACTTTACAGATTTTTCACCGCTGTGTGAAATACCGAATATTCCCAATGTGCGGCGTTTGTCCTTACAGCCAGAGAGTTAACACACTATTACACGGTTCACAGATCGAGCTTTACTTACACGTCTAGCGGGAGAAAGCCGGCGAAGTTCGAAAAAATCCACTTCTTAAAAAATATTTAATATTTTCAAAACTGACGATAAGATTTCGGTGAAAAGTATACAACGAGGATGTTTAGGATTTCAAGGGATTTCAAAATCTATCAAACATATGTATAACAAGATTTGTAAAAGTAAATTCTTAGAAAAGTATTAATACCCTTCCCGACGATAGCGTGGTAATCGATGCATTCGAAGCGACACGCGTCCCTGATAAGTGGAGCACGTTATCAGTGGACCACGGTGGAAATTTTCGAACGGCCGCGGCCGGCCGATACGGTTTGCTCCTCTGGAAACGCGAGTCGAACCGGGCCGAGACGGGTCGAACCGAGTCGGACCGAACTGAGCCGGGGCGAGCCGAGCCGGACCGAGCTGAGTCGGGGCGAGCCGAGTCGAACCGAGCTGAGCCGGAGCGAGCCGAGTCGGACCGAACTGAGTCAGAGCGAGCTGAGTCAGGGCGAGCCGGGCCGGGCCGAGCTGAACCGAGCCGAACCGAGCCAGAGCGAGCTGAGTCAGGACGAGCCGAGCCGGAGCGAGTCGGACCGAACTGAGTCGAGCAGAGCCGAGCCAAGCCGAGCCAAGTGGTGCCGAGCAGGGCCGATCCGAGCCGATCCGAGCCGAGCCTCGGGTTTATCGTCCGCGGAACGGCCTCTTATCAGAGCAACGCGTGTCGAGCCGGGAAACGAGCAGTCGCATCCTGAAATTACAACCCGGCCCGCTCTCTCCCGTTCTCCCGCGACCCTTAATTAAAATTCTAAATAATAATACTAGAGTGCGCCGTGTGCGGCGTATCGATTAACGATCGAACGATTCATACATCGCGCCGCTCGCTCCGGACGGCAATTCGTTTCGCGTGCGAAGTCAAACGTCGCTAAAAAGAGAGAGAGAGAGAGAGAGAAAAAACCATGCGACGGACGCTGCTCTCCCCAACTTTTATCCGCCGACAAAACCGTAGAAAAAGTTGTTCGGTGTTAAAGTTTTAACGACAGGGGCTCGGGGGAGGGGGGGGGGCGAAACCTCGCGAAATTCCGCTCGCGAAAGGCAGCGGCTCCGAAAAGTACTCGAACGCTTTTGTCGATTTTCGGGGAATTCGATATTGAAGCTGTTATAATTCTCGCGAAACGTGTCCCACGGCGACCAGCCCGGGCTCGTTTCGAAGCCCGAAGCCTCCGCTTTCGCAATCCGTTCACGATTCTTTTCGCAACCGCGTTTGCACTGCGTAGCAGGCAGGAAACCGACGACGCGATTTTTTCGCAAAAAACCATACGAATCGTGGAGCCTCTGATTTCTAGGAAGTCTCGAGAAGTCTCGAATTTCTTCGGACGAAATTAACGACGGATCGCGATAGCAAAGAGTTCAAGCTTCGAAACGATCCCAGGCTCGTTGTTGCACGATTGTTTCTTACGAAGTTATAAAATACTTTTTGGGACCACTGTATACACGTAGACAGGAACGGGCGTCGGCTATTCTTCTTACAAAAGCGACACCGTTTTCGCATCTATCCTGTGCAGATTAAACATAACTTGTAAATTAAAATTACCGACTATACAACTAACCGAACAAATTGTAGCGTACACGATTGTAGCTCGGAACCAGCGAAGTCTTGCGCACAGTTCAACCGAAGTCTTTCTTCCATTCACTTTCACGCGATCGAATTAATAAAATCTTCTCCTCGCTGGTCCTCGAAATTCTGCCATCCGTAACACCTCGACAATTTCCTCGCACATTTTACCATAAACACCGCGTCGAGTTTACGAAGTTCGAACACTTCTCGCAGAGATCGCGCTCCTAAAGTTTAACTATAAAACGCTTGTTATTTCAATTTAACGCTAGAACGACGCGACTGACTTACATTGCTTTATCACAATGGCAAGATTGATTTTCTTCAAACTTCCTACGATTTCTGTTATAATGTTTTCCTGTTATAATATCGGTAAAGAAGCTAGTAAAAAAATTGCGAACGTTTCTATAATTTCGAAACGAAAGAAGGAAACAGAAATCGGTTCGGTAATTCCAGCGTCAAAAGACGAAACGTCACAATTTGGATTAAAACCGTCGCGTACACTCGAAAATCTCTCTCTTTCGTTTCGTTGCTCTCATTTTCTTGCACTTGCTCATCGTTACGCTAATACTTAAGATAAGAATTGATCCATCGTGTAAGTGGTTTAAGCCCTGGAAACGAAGCTATCACAGAGGCCGCACCGATATTCGCGTGAAAACGACGACGGATCACGATGTTGTACGTGGCGTTGTTTTAAAATGCCATTTTAAAACACGAAAATTCGACGGCAATCGATCGACGGCGGGCTCGAACGAGCAAACGATATCGGTTAAAAAGTGTCCATGCGTATGGTGTCCGCGGTGGAGTAGCTGTTCAAGACGTTGTTCACGCTGTCCTGGCTGTACATCGAGCCGTCCATCTCCGCGTCCATGTCCTCCGAGAAATTCACGAGCACCTGCACAGATGAAACTCTTTTAATTTTCGATACTACGGGCCACTATAGTGGCCTTCCATATAATGCCACTGAGGTACTACGGGCCACTATAGTGGCCTTCCATATGATGCCACTGAGGTACTACGGACCAATATAGTGGCCTTCCATATAATGCCACTGAGGTACTACGGGCCACTATTGTGGCCTTCCATATGATGCCATTGAGGTACTATGGGCCACTATAGTGGCCTTCCATACGATGCCACTGAAGTACTACGGGCCACTATAGTGGCCCTCCATAAGTTCGATCGTTTGTAGCGAATAAAGTCAATGCTTACTGCAGAAAGATAATTCACCTTATTTTTCTCTCAACAACGGATAAATAGATATGCCTTATTTTTTTCAATTTTGTTTAACTTTATTTGGATTAACCCTTTTGCTACGGGCGGGTTCTCCGCAACGATCGGCGTCTTGTCGCAGCACGCCGTTCAGCAGAAGTACCGCGGCGGAAAATCCGCCCGTAGCGAAAGGGTTAATCGACTCGTCGACGCACGCCATGAACGAAAAAATCGATCGAAGCTTTCTTAACAAGCTAGCTGCGTCGCGACGAGTATACTCGTCACGGAGAAGCGGCGGTATTTTACAATAAACTGATTCTTGCTGAACGAATGCAGGGATTTTTTGAACTTTCGATGCGATTCGTGCGACTGATATTTCATATCAGGGTTAAATTCTTAAATTGATAAGTAGACCGCGGATATTTATGCAAAATACAAATTTTCCGAGACGATTGCGACAGAAATTAACCAATCAACTGTGTCACGACGAGTGTACTCGTCGCGAATGAAATCGGCTTGTCAGAGGAAAATTAAAGAATATAACTCGATGCTAATTCGATGACGATTCAACGACAATTTTCCCATATTCCAGAACGTTTCGAAAAAGCTCGATTTAAAAGCAAAATCATCTCGTCGTCTCGCTTCCGTGAAAAGTTCCACGATTTCGCCGGCGAACTTCGTCATTTTCGCCCGGTGTTCGGCGTGCCGCGGGAAACGTGCCGTGACTAATCGGCAATTATTGCAAATACGAGCCGAGAGTACCTGCAAACTTCGGGTCGTTGCCGTCGCGACGTCGCGCGGACGTCGTTTATCGCGTCGTTCCGACGAGATGCCGCGGATCCTCGAGCGAACGGGAATAAAACAGGGACGGGGACGAGATAGAGGCATCGAGGACGACACGCTCTATCTCTGTCCACCCTCTGACCTCCATCCGAGCAACGGAGAACCATAAAAATCTCGAAACTCCCGCAACGAGGCGAGTTTACGCGGTTTGCATGGAAGCCCGCCCTCGAGCGGCAAAAACCGCGCCACGGCGAACTTGTTTGCGACAATTCCGAGGACACCGGTCGGGTTCCGTCTCGCGCAGCCGGATACTTTGGGGGAGATTGCGTTTTTTCGATATTTTCAATTCGTCGCGATCCGTCGCGGCCGTCGACGACGACAACGACGACGGTCTTCCTGAACAACCGTGTCGGGCGACGCGAAAAGTTGACGAATTACCGATCTCCAACGAATCGTTGCGAGCAACGGCTGAATACTCGGCTCTATTGTAAAACGCTATACAGTAATGTGTCCCTAATTGACGCTCAGATTGTCCATAAAAATGGGCAATTTTGGAGGAGGAGGATATACGATTGTTCGAGCTTTGCGGCTCGTTTTTATAATTACCGATTCTCAGCAACTATAAAAACTAGCTGGATGGCTCTAATAATCGTATTTTTCTCTTCCAAAATTGTCCATTTTTGTGGACAATCCGAGCGTCAGTTAGGGAGACATTACTATATTATAAAGATAAACACCGCGAGGAATCATCGTAGACTGCAAGGGTTACTTTAAAGTCTGTCTCTTATACACATCTAGATGTGTATAAGAGACAGCTTTAAAGTTCTGTAACTTCGCGAACAAAAATCGCAGCCAAGTCCCTCTTTTTTCAAATGAAAGGAGAAGGATCGAACTTCGTTCCACGGTAAACGGCATCCCCGGAAAAAATTGTGCAAAGTTCGTGCATTTCGTCAAACTTGGCAAGATCAAGATTTTCAATGTGACAAACATGAGTTCGCATTCGATGCGTTGCGACAGCGAGGGAGTATCGAATTTAGAATCCAGAAACAGCGTCTTAAAGTAAAGGTTTCAAGCTTCAATTTAGAAAAAGAATTATCGTCCTACGGTGATTTTCGGCGGAGTTATCGTCGGTCGATAAATGGGCAATTTTGGAGGAGGAGATACGATTGTTCGAGCCTCGTGGCTCGTTTTTTATGGTTATCGATCGTCAAAAACTATAAAAACGAGCTGCAAGGCTCGAACAATCGTATCGCCTCTTCCCAAATTGTCCATTTTTGTGGACAATCCGGGCGTCAATTAGGGAGACATTACTGCATCGATTGATCCTTCAGAGTAGGCCGTTCTTCGAGAAAAATACTCGTTGGTGAATTTCGCAAGCGGTAACTCGCAGAGACGGGCGCAAATTCGATATGTACAGTGGCTCGCAAAAGTATTCGTACACTTTTATCGCTAAACCTATCACGTGCGAAACGATTTGCAATTCTGCAATCTTCGGAGACACTTCCATGGAAAATGCTCGAATAAATTGTATCACTGTTCGAGCAAATTTTGTAACGAAAACTTAACAAAATCTGCTCTCGCAAAACTAATCTAATTTTCACGAAGCAACGGAACGAACTTCTTTAAAATCGGACCGAACGACTTGATTTTTGTTTAAGTAACAGAGGGACCAGTCTGCTGGACAGTGATTAAAATGCTTTTTTCTTTATTTTGCTGTTACGATTATTTTGCTGCACGGTCCGCGACCTCGCAAATAACGCGTAAAGATTTAATATTTAAAAAATAAGAATCATCCACATCCCTCCGTCTGATTTCTGCGAGAAGTTCTAGGAATTTCCACGCGGAATCGGCGACTTTTCCCCACCGCGCGGCGCGGAGGAGCACGCGGCAAAGAAAGGCCGGGGCTGCGCGTAGAGAATTTCCATTCATTTCCAGCCGGCTGCGCGGGCGTCTGCGAACGAAACGCTACCAGGTTAACAGGTGAAGCAAAGAGTAAGTTCTCTCCGCGTCTCTGAAAGCAACGGCGGCGTCCGATCGATGTTTTCTTCGGCGTCGCGGTCGTGAAAGGCGGCGCGGCGCGGCGCTCGTCCTTCGGCCGGAATCGCGCGTTCGTCGCGCAATTGTCCGAAGCATTTTCCGCGGGATTACGCAACTCTCTCTCTCTCTCTCTCTCTCTCTCTCTCTGTCTTGGTTCTCTCTCTCTTTATCTCTGCCTGTATCTCTTTCTCTCTCTCTTTGTCTCTGTCTCTCTTTCTCTCTCTCTCTCTCTCTCTCTCTGTCTTGGTTCTCTCTCTCTCTTTATCTCTGTCTGTATCTCTTTCTCTCTCTCTTTTTCTCTGTCTGTCTCTCTTTCTCTCTCTCTTTCTCTCTGTCTCTCTTTCTCTCTCTCTTTCTCTCTGTCTGTCTCTCTTTCTCTCTCTCTCTGTCTCTCTCTCTTTCTCTCTCTCTGTCTCTCTCTCTCTCTTTCTCTCTGCCTCTCTCTCTCTCTCTCTCTCTCGGTTCTCTCTCGGCTCTCCCGGGCTGTCGCGTCGCTCCGCGCGAAATGCAATTAGAAGACGCGCGGTCGAAGGAGAAAGCCGAGATGAAGAAAAAAGAGCAAGCGGAGGAAGATTCGCATTGCGGCGCGCGCGAAATCCAGCCGGGCGCGGCGATCCGACGCGCGAAATTCGCCGGCGGAGTCGCGCGCGGCCCGGCTCCAATTTGCATGAGACGGTTAATAAGGGAGGCGTGATTTAACCGCCGGTTAAAAAAGTTACGCCGCGGGATTACGTGACTCGCCGGGCCCGGCTGATTATAATTAACACTCTTTAGACATTTATTCGGCGCGAGATTACTGGGGGACCGAGGCCGACTCGAAAGTAAACAGAGCCGCGGCTCCATTTAAGCGCGCGCCGCTTGTTTTTTCCTTCGGATAAATTAACCGTCGGATTTTTTTCCCGCGGAAAACTGGAAAATGTTTCGGCGCAAAGTCTGCCACTTGCTGCGGTAATAGGGCACCGGTGCCAGGATACCCTGGTGGCGTAGCCAATTACTGTGCCTCTTGGCCATTTTCAAGCATAATTAACTTTATATTCGTCGTATAAGATGTATCATATAGTTTTATATAAATTTAATTAATCGTTTGTTTTTTTAAATTTAACACGCGAAGGATAGAAGTCCTTACGAAAAAGTTTAAGAAAATACTGAACGAACGAACATCGATATTCGGGAAAAAAGATCGTTTTACGCAAGATACGGTAATGTCTCTCTAATTGACGCTCAGATTGTCCACAGAAATGGACAATTTGGGAAGAGGAGGTGCGATTAATTTGAATCGTGCGTCTCGTTCTTATAATTACCGTTTCTCAACAACTATAAAAACGAGGCGCAAGATTCGAATACAATCGTATCTCCTTTTCCTAAATTGTCCAATTTTGTGGACAATCTGAGCGTCAGTTAGAGAGACATTACTGTATCGCAATGTTAACCCTTTGCACTCGAAGCCATTTTAACTGTAAATTAACATTTCCGACTTGTAGTATTTCCATTTTATGTGACACATGATTTATAATTTCATGTATATGAAATCGAGTCTTGTAACTCGTACGACAGTTAGACTTTTAACAATCTTTTTATATCTAAGCTTCGATAATATAAATATTATTTTGGAAAGTGATGTAACAATTTTTTTTTAGCGCTGCCTCAGAGTCACCGCTCGACTGCAACGGGTTAATTGTATCGATTAAATGTGTTAAGATTATGGAAAAATGAGATAATAATTGTTGATTTGAATTTTCGTTTTATAATAACGATTGAAGGATCGTCGGAGGACCGCAGATTTTTCCGCGGACCGCGGAAAAAACGTAAGCGAGGGCTATACGATAAAAATGAAATTTCTTCCGTTTTAGACGACGTTTTAAA